GGTAGAGGACAACGTGCTGGTTCTTTTGATATCCATGTCGTCGCTTGGGGTGGCCGGAGGAGGCGATGGCAGCCCAAAACTGGTGCGATGAACAGTAAAAAATGGGATGAGCTGCTGTTCTGGAATTTTGGGGGAGATGAACAGTAACGTTCGTAACGGAACTTCAAAAAAACTGACGAAAAGGGTAACGTGAGACAGTTTTTTGCACGTTGGGGGGTACTTTGAGACGTTTTTCACCACAGGTGGTAATATGAGATAAGTTGGAAAGTACAGAGAGCATGTACATAATTAAGCCTTATAAATTATTCATCATGATCAAACTAGTTTTCAATTTAAAAGTATTTATCTTTTCAGGGTTATATGACTTCTTGTATTTTCACATTTTGGGAACATTCAAATGATTAAGTTCAACATCAAACGCAAAAAAACCTAACCTCCACAATGGCTAAGAAATCGCACGGACTTCTTTCACACATGACTTTTGGAATATATATTGTGATATGTAATATCAGTCATCAATATAGATTTATAATCCATAATTAACATAATGTATATTTTGGTGTCAATGGAAGAAAATAATGATGCAAATTAGGTGCATATGTTAAATTAACGCCTAACACGAATATATACGATGTCTTTGACAAAAAATAAAGAGTATATACGATGTCCTTATTATTCATTCACTCTCATACGTGTTGGTCATGTTATCAAAATATTATGAAAGTGTATTGCAAATTAATAAAAATTACGATATTAGGTTACAACTTACAATAAAACAATACCAAGTACGCTATCGCATGAGATGATGAATGTACGTCATGTCATGTGTTGATTAAGTTAAGTGTGATCAATTACTCATGTGTTGGTTGGTGTTTAGGTGATCGATATTTACAAAAGATACCTTATTTTCACTTCACATTCGTCATCTTACATGTAAACATTTTATCGTGTCACGTGCTAATTAGGTGATCATTTATTATAAACGATATATTCTTTATCTTTTATAGTACGTAAAGGAATTTCACATCACCCTTTCATGTGCTATTTAAGTTAAGTGATCAATTATTACAAAAGATACCTTACTTTCACTTGACATTCATCCTCTCATGTATTAACATTTATCGTATCACAAAAGATACAAAAGAATATTCTTTACCCTTATAGTATGCAAAAGAATTTCTATGCTAAGGCAAGCATTTGTTATTACAAATAGATACATTCTTTACCCTAGTAGTATGCAAAAGAATTTCTATGCTTAAGGCAAAGCATCTGTTTATAGGATTTTATCACGAACATTTTTGAAAATGCAAGAAAACCCGGGAGGAGAGGGATGCTAGGAGACTCAGCAAGCCAACCAGTCAGCTCTCTAATACAAAAAATCATAATCCAGAGTGCAGAGTGCAGACCCGGACCCACTCAAAGTTGTGCTTAGTCAAGGCAAACAAGAAAAGTAAAGGCAACCAAAACCAACGCCCTTCGCAAGCAGCAGCAACAGAGGCTGCCTACGCTACGAAGTACGAACACACCGAGTCACAAGCACACAGAGCACACGCAACCTGAGCGCAACAAGAAACAACACTCTCTCAGAGCCTCACTCTCTGCTTCGGCCAACGCTCCAGTTCAATGCCTAACTGCGAACCCGATCCTCTCATCGCCACTAGCATGGACGACGCTGGTTCTACTTCTTCACCGTCTGATCAGGGTGCCTCTTCTGGGGCTGATGATGATCGGGTTGAATCGGGTGCTGGAGCTCCGAAGTCAGACAAGGACCCGAGGAAGGTCGCCAGAAAGTATGATTGGCTCCTCTCTCCATTACATTGTTAACTTGATTTTGCTTCTTTTTTTTCGCTGTTCCTGCATTTTCTTTCATTTATTTTTGTGCACAGTACTTTTCTCTGTTCTGCTCCTGTGGAATGTGGAGGAAAATAAAGGTGAACGTAGGAAAATGTGAGATATTGAGTTTTAGTTCCGGAAAAGTAATGCTCCCATTAGACTTATCACTCGTGTTTCTGTAAGATGTGGTTTTTTGTTTTTTTGTTGTGAGAAGTTTTCTTTACCAATGACATAAACCAAATGATTCTTATCAGAAAGCATGAATGAAATGCTGGGTTTTATGTTTGATTTTGAACTTGAATATCAAAACGCTGTTTTCTAGGTTTATTATTATGTTTTTTTTTCCCAAATGGTTTTGTTTCTAATTATAGTTCTTCTAATTTTTCATTTTAAAGGTATCAATTGGAGCTATGCAAGAGAGCTTTAGAGGAGAATATAATTGTGTATCTAGGGACTGGTTGTGGGAAGACCCACATAGCGGTCTTGCTTATATACGAGTTGGGCCACTTGATACGCAAACCTGAAAAGAACAAATGCATATTTCTTGCGCCCACAGTGGCTCTGGTTCAACAGGTGCTATGCTCT